ATAACTTGAGAACGGCTTCACCGAATTCAACCAAATTTATGTGGCATATTCAACTTATTATGCAGATGGTTTATGTGAAGTTTGCTTGAATTCGGAAAAGGGGGCGTGGCGCCTATATTTTATATATACAAATTAGTGAGTTAGCTTATAACTTGAGAACGGCTTCACCGAATTCAACCAAATTTATATGGCATATTCGGGCCATCATGTAGATATTTTACGTAGAGTTTGCCCAAATTTGGAAAAGGGGGCGTGGCATATGTATCTTATGTATAAAAATAAGTACACGTTTTTGGTTTGAGCTTATAACTTGATAACGGCTTCACCGAATTCAACCAAATTTATACGGCATATTCAGGCTATCATGCAGATAGTTTATGTGAAGTTTGCCCGAATTCGTAAAAGGGGGTGTGGCACCTTTCATACTAAATTACTAAAATTTTTATGTTGTATATCTCTTGAAATATTTGTGGTAGAGTACTGGAAATTGGTATAGAGGTATATCAAATAAGTCCATACTCATGGAGAAAAATGTGCGGTATTGGAAAAGAGGGCGTGGCACCTCACATCTTATATACAAAAAATAAGTGCAAGATTTCAGCCAAATTTATACGGCATAGTCGGGCTATTATGCAGATGGTTTGTGTTAAGTTTCCCCGAATTCGGAAAAAGGGGCGTGGCACCACCCATACTAACAAAAATTTTCATCTGGTATATCTCTTGAAATATTTGTGGTAGATTATTGGAATTGGTAGCTATACGTGGCCTGTTCAAGAGTTGGCATTCCAAATAGTTTATTTATTCATACCGAAGATGGAAAAACAAAAAATGTTGTATATCCAAATGTGTTGGATTAAGATTTAAAATAAAGAATAAAAAAATTCGAAATAAAACAGATGATAAATTTTCATATAGAAAAATCCCAGGATTTTTCATTAATTTTTCAATATTTGGTGTAGAGAAGCAGAAGTTTATTATAATTCTCATTTGTTGGCCAGTTTTCAGCATATATTTCAGGAAAGTAAAAAAAAATTATATATTTTTTTAGACA